ATTCTTATCAGTAGAGATAGGACACGAGTTATTATTTAAATTAACATCATTTTATAGGTTATTTTTGAGGTTCAAATATTGCTTCATATTTATGAATAACCCTGTATTTTAATGAGAATCCTGGCTAAAATTAGTTCCCATCATGTTTCTGACATTAAGCAACTTAAAACAAATAAAACTCTCGTTTGCAAATAATTCTGTAATATTTTTTTTGTTGTACAAGTAATTTCATGTGGGTGGATTAGGACAAGGACAAGTCTGACGTTCTAAAACTCTTCTAAACGGATGTTTGAACGCCGGGTCTTCCAATCTTGCGTTAATCAACTCCAAGACGTGTTGGCGACGACGCTCTTCCTCGGCAAGTCCTTCAGCCAATTCCCGTTCCAGCTTCTCTTTCTCAAGTCTCTGGAAACCCAAGTTAGCAAAATCGACAAAATTAACACCCTCACCCTTTGCTCATTATTATATTCAATCTGTTGCTTCAAATCTTCTCTATACTGCTTCACTTGTTCGGCTTGAAGCCGGTCATGCTCAGCTTGAAGTCTTTCATTGGTTTCCCAAGCCATCCTCAACAGCTCGTTTTCGGCCTCTTTCAACTTGAGATGGTTTTCGGCTTCCTGTCTCTTGTACTCCAACTGTTGGGCCCTTTCAGCTAAAACATTCTGACACAAAAACTAGGGCCAAACTTGATTATTAGTTTTACTTTCTGTAAATCTTGACGCGCTTTCTTCAATTTGCAATACGCATCTTCTTGTTTCTTCTCAATCATCTTTCTGTGCTCTTCCAAAAGTTTGTTTAATTGCTCCTCTTCTCGCTTCCTCTCCATTTCTAACTCTTTCAAATGGTTGCGGTAGATCGCAGTTTCGCGTCTTGCTAACGACGTGGTATCTTTAATCTTTTGCCTTTCTTTCTCTAATTCAACTTCGGCCAATCGACTCATGGCATTATTTAAAGCATCTTCCTCTTTCTTCCTTTGTGCAATGAATTTTTCCTGGACTTGGATTTGTTCTCTCAATTCTTGAGCGACTTGGTCACGTTTTCGGCGTTTGGCATCTAAAGCTTCGATTTCTTCACGACGAATTTGTTCCTGTAGTTTAATCATCTCTAAACGGTCTTCAGCAGCGACCTTTTCAGCTTCTTGTTTCAGTAATTCTTTGCCGTAAATCTGTTTCTCCCATGTCTGCATTGTTTCTTGCATTGCGCGGTTTTGTTTGAGCAAATCTTGCACTTCCTTCTCCATCTTTGGGAGAAAAATTGTAAAAAATGTAACGGCAATAACACATTTACCTTTGCTTCTTGTTCTTTTTTCATCAGATTATGCCACATGACATTCAGTTCGCGTTCAGACTCTTTGCGTATTTGATTCTCTTTCATTTGTTGAAGTTGGGCATTTTTGCTATCGACGAGATTTCTTTGATAGACAACTGGACGCAACTCCACACAACCATCACTTAAAATGACAAAATTTTTGCAATTGTAAAATCTGTTTTTTTTCTAAATAGAAATGCCAAACAGTATGCCACGAGTAAATTCATTCATGGTAATTTTAATAATTAATTATATTGAATTGAATTAATTTGAAAACAATGTCATTAAAAGAATAGGAGACATTCAGCAAAGTAGACAAGGCAATGTAAATATGAGTACTTACAAACATTTTTGCTTTGTATCTCATTGCAAAAACTATGTGGGAGGGTCTATTTCGATGCATTACTTCCTAAAATGGAGATTTCAACTTTTGATGATGCAAAATCAGTATTTCATAAATAGGAATCATCATAAACATAAAGAGCGTAGACAAGCAATTTTTTACATTGAGTTTTTTTAAGAGTTTAAAACTATAGACGATCTTATGCATTTTTCCAGGTAAGAAAAAAGAAAAAGTTGAAATTTAAGACGTCTATAAAACAAAGTCGCATCTTACATCCTTCGAAAACAAACAATAAACGTTAAGAAGCTTTTATTCTGATCTTATGAAAACCAGAAAGTTACTTATGTGAGACTCCAAATAATACGTCGATTTCAGTTTGTAAGTACTGTTAATTACTTCATTAAATAATAGACTTCTTAAACAACGCTCATATTTACCTCAAATAATCACAATTTTATCTACAGAGCGTGGTTTGTGCCATAACAGACACAATATGTAAAGTACTAAAACAGCATTTGAATGGTTTTTTATAAGATTGGCCCCATTTTTTGTAGAATAAATAAAAGATGATAGGGGGCTAATTTTCGGTGACCCCTCATTATTTTAATTTTTTACACTAACACAAGTACATTTATGCCTGATTACATGGAAGTTATTACTTAAGAAACCAATGAGACGTAGAACAAAAGCAAGAAATCAACCAATAAACGAAAAATACTTGCAAATTATACCAAAAAAACTTTCAACGACGACAATAGTGTTACTGTCAATATCAAATTGACAAATTCACTCGAACATAAGATTTAAGTGGTGTAGTTGAAGTACATACAGGGCTTTCATTTCAAAAGGATCCAGTCTCAATAACTTTTGACATTGAACAAATGGATTTTCAAGCAAAAACAGGTCGATTAGGATCTCGAGGGGGAAGTTGAAAACCAACATTAGTTACATTTTAAGTTTCATCCCCTAGTCGCTAGCCACCCCTACTTTGAAATTTTAAATGGCATCCCCTACTTTTTAGAACGTTTTCGGAAAGAGAAGAAATCAGCGTCACTAAATGTCAAAGAAATTTTTTTTTGTCGATTTGTTTTTCAGTTAGGGGTGGTTTAATTTTTGAAATTTTTCGTCCTAGTAGCTTTTGATTGAACTCAATTATTATTTAAATAAAAAATATGTCGATTTGGGTTGCGATGGGAGAGTTTAAGACCAACATTAAATACGTTTTAGGTTTCATCCCCTAGTAGCTAGCCACCCCTACTTTAGAATTTTAAATGGCACCTTCTATTTTTTGAAACATTTTCAGAAAGGGACTAAATGAGAGTATCTAACTGTCAAAGTAAAAAAAAAAATTTTTGATTCGTTTTTTAGTTAAGGGTGGTTTAATTTTTGAAATTTTTAGTCCTAGTAGCCTTTGATGCAACGCAATTTAATTTGAATAAAAGTAATTTTTTAATTAACTGAACTATCAAATGGTAAATTTTCGCTGAATTGTTGACACCACCGCCTTCTTAATAAAATGTATTAGATGACACATAATCAAAATCAAAGTTAAAAGCTACTAGGACTGATGGAAATTTCTAAAATAAAACTACCCCTAACTCAAAAACGAATCGACAAAATATTTTTTTTTTATTTACGATTAGATAAGCTTTTTTCCACTCCTTCCAGAAATGTTTCAAAAACTTGGAGTGTCTTTTTAAAATTTTAAAGTAAGGGTGGTTAGTGACTAGGGGATGAAACCTAAAACGTATTTAATGTTGGTTTTAAACTCTCTCATTACAACCCAAATTGTCATATGTTTTATTTAAATTAAATTGAGTTCAATCAAAGGCTACTAGGACTAAAAGTTTCAAAAATTAAACCACCCCTAATTGAAAAACAAATCGACAAAAAAATTTTTTTCTTTGACATTTAGAGACGCTGATTTTTTCTCTTTCTGAAAACGTTCTAAAAAGTGGGGGGTGCCATTTAAAATTTCAAAGTAGGGGTGGCTAGTGATTAGGGAATGAAACTTAAATTGTAACTAATGTTGGTTTTCAACTTCCCTCTCGAGATCCTAATCGACCTGTTTTTGCTTGAAAATATATTTACTCAATGTCAAAAGTTATTGAGACTGGATCCTTTTGTGGATCTTACTTGTGTTTATTTTAATATTAGAAATTTATCTTTGTGTGGTATCCCCTTTTTGAGAGGTTTTTATTCTAAGGATTTAGTAGCTGAGATTATAAGAATAGGGTATTTAAGATTTTATGTTTATTTAATTTTTTATTTATCTATTGGTTTAACTGTTTGTTAAAGTTTTCGACTGGTTTATTATTCATTTGTAGGGAACTTTAATTTTATTTCAGTTAATAGTATTTATGAAGGTGGGATTACCATACTAAAGGGTATAGGTGGTTTAATTTTTTTAGTTATTTTAATGGGTAGTGTGATGAGCTGATTAATTTTTTCTTATCCTTATGTAATCATTCTTCCTTTTTTTTATGAAAATTATAACATTAATCATGGTTATGGCTGGGGCATGAATTGGTTATGAGTTGTCTAAGTTTTCTATTAGTTATGATAGTATATTAATAAATAATTATAAATTATCTTGGTTTTTATCTGGTATATGAAACATACCTGTGATTTCAACTTTAGGAATTAATTATTATCCTATTGTAGGAGGTTCTTTTATTTACAAGTCTTTGGACCAAGGATGATCAGAGGTGATAGGAAGCCAAGGAATTTATAAGCTAATTGTTAATGGATCTAAGTTTTTTCAAATTTTTATGATAAATAGAATTAAGGTTTTTTTATTTTAATAATTGTATGATTAAGTATTATTTATATGATTTACTTAAATAGCTTATTTAATAGAGTATGATATTGAAGCCTTGTATGTAAATTAATGTTCACGGCTACCATCCTTAGAAACCCTTTGTTTCAATTTACATTGTGATAGAATTTTTATTTTACTTTTAAGTTGGTAATGAAAAAATAAAATTGATGACGCACCGGTCTACCCTCCTGAATTTTACTACTTATACCAATTTTTTCACCAAAATTTTGATTTCCATTTAAAGAAAAACAAACTAACAAAAAATTCAACTCACATGTATTGCTGCATCCGTTTTTGATTGACAATCTCAAGTCTTTCAGCTTCTCTCTGCGCTTTCAGTAACTGGGCTTTGTTTTTCATGTCTTCCATTTTCGAATCCACACCTTTCTGAGCTTTGTCGATAGTTTCAAGTATAAATTCTTGCTCTTCTTTGCATAAAAGCTCCCTCAATTTGGCACGTCTGGTCTCGATTGTCTCTTCATAAGCTTTGACTTTCTCCTTGAAACGTTCCTGGATATGTCTCTGGAAGACTTTTTTTTCGGCATGTTTGTCGTATTTGGCGGTGACGGTCTCTTTGAGGAGTCTTTTAGCTTCCGATGCTAGAAATTCGGTGTCAGCATCGCGGAGATGTTGCCGGTGGTGTAACAAACGGACGTGGTAGTCGGTATTGGGTTGGCGACCGCGCTAAAAAAAATTACTTACTTGAAAAAATAAAATTGAAAATTTTACATGGCCATAAACTCCTGGTGTGATACAGGGTAATTGTATGTCGTAGGTCATCGGGTTGGGTCTTGACCGTTTCACATGTTTGGGAGGGTCCAGATTCCCTCCAAACATCTTTGACTTTGTCAAAAAACGACTTGTTAAATCAATATTTAGCATAGATACCATCTCTAGGGTTGCGATAATTACCATCGTGCGCCTGACCACTGAGTCAGTCAAGCGGCGCCACGCGAACCATGAAGACCCATCGCCGACCATGGATTTAGTCTCCACGAAAATCCTAGTGGCCGTCCTCTTCGGACTCCTCCGGTTTTTCTTCGGGATTCTCCCGGTGAAAATCTACAAGTTGCTGTTGCACTGGGAGGGTCAAGACGACTCCGAGCACTTTATAAACAAGCGACGCCACCAGCAGGTCACGTGCACTCTAGCCCTATGCCAGTCCTTCGGCGGGGGCGTCCTCTTCGCCACTTGCATGCTCCACATGATGCCCGAAGTGTACAAATCGGTGGAGGAGTTGAAACAATTCGGAAATGTCAACACCGATTACCCCCTCTCGCAGATGACCATTTCGGTGGGCTTCTTCCTGGTGTACTTCATCGAGGAGTTGTCCCACTGGTTCGTGACCCACGTCCCCGACGAGGCGTGCGAGAAAACGACCCGATCGGCGACCCCCTCGTCCACTAAAGTGGCCCCCAAGAGCGCCTTCACCAACGAGGAGAAGAAGGAAGTTCCGTTCATCGTCGACGAGTATGAGAAACGGCCGAAATCGGCCGCTTCAGACACTTACAGTCTCACTGCCCAAGTCATCGCCGAAAACGAGAAAAACCAGGAGAAAAGCGTCGATCTTGACTCGGAGCTTGAGCGAGTCGAGTCGGCGAAATCCTCGGTGGAGAAAGCCGTCAAAAGCAAGCAACAAATCATGAGATATGTTCTAGTTGTCGTCGCTTTGTCGTTTCACGCGATGTTTGAAGGCCTTGCCATCGGCCTCCAACACAGTATTGCCAACATTTGGTACTTGTTTGTGGCTGTTTCCATCCACTCGGCTACGATTTTGTTTTACATTAGTCTAGAATTAGTTTTGGCTAAAACTGAACTGAGACGGATTCTCACCCACGTCACTATTTTGTCGGTGACGAGTCCAGCTGGAGTCCTTTTGGGACTCTTGATCACGCAAAAAGCAAACATGAATACTCAAGCCAAGTCCACGGCGGTTGTGCTACTCGAAGGCCTCTCAGCCGGCACTATTTTATACATTACTTTTTTCGAAGTTTTGAACAGGGAGAAAGAACGAAGAGCGTGGACGATAAGACGAGGGGCGTGTATTTTAGGGGGTTTTGTACTTATGGCGCTTTTGCAGTGTGCAGAAATGTATATAGAATGATAAATAAATTATTTTGTTTACGTTTGGGTTTGATTTTTTACAATGACTAAGGGGTATCAATGTTCAATTGATTACAGATAGGAATCGAATCCTATAATGGGGTTTCAAAAGACATACGTACTGGAGAAGGCGTGACAACATTAATATTTCATGTCTCGAAGAGATCAATAGTGAATTGTATTTATCTTCTAACTAGTGGTGGAATATTAGTGCTTCGTCAGGAGACAAAGCTGAAATCGATAATAAAAAAGATAGAATATCAAATTGATTTGTTCTAGATATTTTTGTCAATTTATTTTTAGATATTTTCTCAGAAATTTACTGAATATTTCATCTTAATCTATTAACTCAAAGTATACTTGTGTGACTTGTTAAAATAATTAATCAATTATAAATCCTAAATAATAAAAGTAAAAAATTACATTACTAACATTACTGAAAAACTCACCCTTACCTACATATTGTAAAATAATAAAAGAATAAAGTAACTAATTAATAATTTATAAATTAAAATGAGATGAAAACTTAAAAATGTAGCTCTTGGGTATTTAAAGGCCCTTTTCTTTTGGATGAACAAGAATTAATAAAAAAAACTAAGTTAAGTTTGGAAATTTGGAAAGTGTATTCGGAAAAAAATATATTAATTTTTTTATTATTAGTATAAAAAAATGTAATGGATAAAAATAAGATGTCAGAATTTTGATTTATTTATTTTCTTAATTTGTCAGTATTTCACACAAAACAAAATATTCAATTAATATCTCTAATAAATTTATTAAAACAATAGTTTAAAATCTCCAAAAAATAAAAAAATAGACAAAAAGTAATTGTAAATTCGTCGCGTCAAGATAAAAAAAATGATTTAATTTTTTTTTAAATAGTGTTTTAAATTAAAACAGTAAAAATAGGTTTTTATGTTGTATAATTTGGCATGTAGGTAAGTGAAACATTATTTTTTGAAGTGGACAAAATTTAGGAAAAAAACAAAAAAAAATCTTCAACAGAATTGGCGTCACTTTATTCCCTTAGGAATAAAATATTTAAATTAGCCATATAAACTAGAATTGAAGGAATTGAATTTTTTGAGTGTATTTTGACGTAAACAAAGTACTTGATATCGATTTTTACTTGAATAGTTGAATATTTTGAGAAATTTGTCATTTTTTATATTATTATTAATTTAGTCAGTTGGGAGGAAAGTTTTGTATGCATCTCTGGAATGAAAATGCCCTTGGCTTTACCTAAATCGTCAGCATTAAAATAATTGCTTATTCCATTGAATAAATAAATAACTATGACTCATCCTTTTTATTTATTTTTTCGGTACTAATCAATACAAAAGTTTGAATTTATTTTTTTTTAATTCTTTTTATTATAATTATTACTTTTTTCATAGAAG